AAACCCACAAAAAAACAAATGAAATTAATACTTCATGTAAAATTTAAAACAAACTCTCGCCGTTCACAGTCCATGCAGTAGTAAGCTGATTTCGAAAACAGGTCTGAAAAACACGAACAACAACTGGACTCATTAAGAAAATGAATCACCGGTAGTAAAACCCTTAAAGCAACACGTGTTGACTGAAGGGCTAAGTTGCAGGAACTGTGAACAGTTGGCTAGGCTAAAAATGCAACTGCTCTTCCCTCCGACAAAAAAGCAACAACAAAAAACCCTTCGTTTTCGGCGCTCTGATCTGATATATAAAAATATAAAATAATTACTTATTGGGCAGTAGAAAGTAACATTACGTAGGCTTGTAAAGAAAACCCCCCTGGTGGAACCCGTTTATCATTTATGACGTGCATATTTTGGGGGAGATATAAATGGCCTGTTTGTGTTCTAGGTCGTGCCAAATCCGTTGATTAGGGCGAGAGCAACGCTTAGCAGAGCACAGAAGGGACAACCACTGCCAAAGACTCAGCTGTAATAACCATTTTCACAATGCGACTTGTGCTTCTCTTGTTGTCCTTTGCTCTCTCCTCAAGTAAGTGGATTTCCATTTAACTTTGATTGTTGTAATCTTAATGCCCGACATAGATTCTAAGTGGCGAAACATCGTGATAGTGCAAGGCAAATCATCCTTTTTGAGTTCGTTATTCAAACATACGCTATCGTGCACAAATAATTCTTGCACATTTTAACTAATTATTACGAACATATTATACTTCAAGTTATGTATTTTTTATCAGCTTTTCTTTATACTGTATCAATAACGTAATTACTTTACTTCAACTTCAACTCTCTGTTTAAGGCATGCCGTTTAGGCTAATGTTGATGGCAGCATGCGACTCGGTGGAAATTACGTTAAGGTAGAGTGACACTTTGAGTAGAACGTCTTTCCTACAGTGAGCGAACATGTAGACTGAGAAAAACGTTTAGATTTATTTTTTTAAACCCCCAGTAAAATAAAAGTTACAAGAATACTCTTGATAAAGTTCGGACTAAATCTTTTTTACTAAACTCCGAAACCACACCATTGACTGTTAGTGTCTTCTCTTCCTCTAAAACGAGAACACTTAGCCTATTCGTAATAATAATTATTACACCATCTGCCAGTGATGCTGAGGACCTGGAGCTAGACAAACAGTAAGGGGGAAGGGGAGGGGGTTAGTTGGACTGCCAATAAAGCTGCGCCCATTTGACATAATAACATTTTCACATCCATAATGTATGCGGTATTCGAGGTTATTCGAAGCGTAGAAAAGCCATTCAACTGCCGTGTGATTTTGACAGATAACGGATTTTTTGGTCAATTAATTTACTGTCAACCCGTCGCATTCACTCCCTACAATTCAATGTTTACTAGTCCCACCATAAATAGTTCAAGGGCACTTGACTTTCGAAGCTCGGTGAATTTTTTTCTCGTAGAAATAAATAGTACGCTCTCGCTACCCCTACTCCCCCCCCCCCTTTTCCACTCTTCGTATTCGAATAGTTATGAATGGTGACCATGAAGTATTGAACTGCGTGCACGCCGGCACATGACGAGCTCAATAAATAGTTTTGTGAATAGTTTTTGAATACCAAATGACGGAAGTTAGAGATGGAGATATATCATAATAATATAGATATTACATACATATAAAAGAAACAGACATTCACACACAGTATTTGAAACGTCAATAAAACTTTATTTTTTAATGTTCTAAAAATTGCACATCACTAATTGCTAGGCTGTCCTTTGAGCCCGAGAGAGCTTTCGTGATCTTGTTACAAGATGTCGTTTTACTGCCACTTTTCCGACTTAGCATAATAATAAATAAGCTGCCAACACCCCACCGCCTACCTCCAAAAGACAAACAAACCCCCTAGCAACAATTACATTAAAAAACCCAACTCAAAGACAAGATTATATTAACTTATGGTCACATTTTGAAAAATGAAGACACGTTGATTCTAAAAGTGAAGTGTAGGGGACGTTAAAAAGTTGGTGTTTTTTTTTTCAAAACTAGGCCTGATTTAAAGTATCATGTGTATAGAAGAATACAAACTGCAAACAAATGTACTGAAACTTTAGCTCAGAACGACTTACTATGTTCTATTATAGCGTACACAATTAAGTAAATTGCTTGCACTTGTTACGTTTAGCCCGGCTAATTTTCTGTGATTGTGTGCCAGTATATAATTTCCTACCCCCCTTCAATGTACCAAACCATGCAGGCCTGAGTAAATGTGAGGCAGCGTGGTGGAATCAGGCTCTCGTCAAAATAATTAAAGTGAAGAAATTTGCATTTTTCAGCAGGTTTGTGAATTTTTATCAAATGTATGTTTTTTGGCTCAACACCTTTCATGCCCATTAAAGAACTCATTTCTGTGTAGATTTTCTGAAAAACGTTGATTAAATGCACATAAAAAAATGTCAATTTTCATTTACCGCGGACTCTTAATTTTAAGCAAAGGAATTAACTAATCTTTGGCGGCCATTTTCTCACTAATTTTACCTCTGCAAACAGGTGACCCTCACCTCCTTCTTTTGCAAATATCTCGACTTGTATTCAAGATAAATGGATACTTTTTTATCGAAATAAAGACAAGTGAACAGGCTTTAAGATGATACCAATAAGTCTACATGTCCAAAATTGACGAGAGCCTGATTCCACCACACTACCTCACAAATGGAAAATGTCACCAGTGAGTGAATCGGGTGCCATATTGCAACGCAAACTAGGTGGAAAAAGTGTTCCCGGAAGGCTTAGCCATGGAAAATGCAAGAGCCTATAATACGAATAAATACTTGTGAGTAAGCTATTAGCTTAATAGGCTTACTAGAGGCAAGCTATTGATATGTCTACAAACGCCTATTGTGTAAAGTTTAATTAAGCTCTTTATCTTTGCACGCAGAAGGCCCCGTAGTTATTTTATCAAGTCTTAATGTCTCCGTCTCTGTGCTGGAATATTATAACCATTTCAGTCTCGAAAAGATAAAATAGACAAAATAACAATAACAAAACAAAGAAAAACAAAGACAGAAAAACTCAACAGCAACAGCAACAAAAAAACATGGGACGTACGTTGTCAAGCTTGTTATGCTCACATCACAATCATTCACATAATATTATAGTTAATATTATTACACCTCTTTTACGTTTTCCATTTCCAGGCTGTAGAAGTTCAAGAAATCGTAAATTACAAATTTATAAATGAGATACACAGAGTACAGAGAGTGAGTCGGTTGTTTTGACGGGAAGGGAAAAATTGTTTCTGGGTAAAATGAGAAGAACGTTGTATAAGGGTTTATAATATTACAGAGAGAGAGAGAGAGAGAGAGAGAGAGAGAGAGAGAGAGAGAGAGAGAGAGAG